ACATTGTCTCACCCTGATCTGCTCATGCTTAGTTGCTCTCTGTGTTTAGGCACTGCTGAATTTGTAGAGGCCGATCTGCTGACAGCCTAAAGATTTACTGCTGCTCCGGGGCTCTGGTCTTCAACAAAATGGCAGCCGCCAGTAAGAAGAAACAGGAACAATGCGGGAGGCAGTTTATTATTGTGGAATGTATGTTCCTTGCTCAGTGAAGCTCAATTTAGCAGCATTGTCTGACCCCAAACCCCCCTCATGCAGAATCAAAATTTCTGTAAGGTCTCATGCACCCAGTCAGTGAGAGGCTGAAAATATGATGGACGTTAAATTTTGGTCATTTTTTTGTGGCCGGGTACTGCATACAGCCTGCCATTCAAGTAAAATGTGCATGTAGTCTGCTAACACCAGTGCTTCTTTTCTGTTTACTTATACCTGTGCGTATGATGTGTATTTCCTGAACGCAAACTTTAATATGCATTTCCAAAACTTCTGTGCATCAGCATTTACATGATTACATCATGTACAGCTATTTAGTTATTTGGCAGGTTGTATATGGCACCTACTATTCCTTGGGTGTGGAAAATGACAGGAATCATATGTTTTCAGTCTCTTATCGTACGTGTTCCCGAAGCCATAGCCCAAGTTCACACCAAAAGTGACATTGAAATCGTGAACTTGAAGTAGCGATCTGAAATCCGTGGACCCGGTGCAATTTTATACATGGGTTGCCTGACATCTGTGTGATTTCTTGCACAGATGTCAATGCAAGTTGCACGTTATATCGCCGAAAATAGTGCAGGAACTATTTTCAAAATCAGCGTGACTCCGACGGACACCGTTTTCTGCGGTTCCATTGCTGACTTGTCATTCGAATTGAAACTGTCAAATCACATGACAAGTCGCACCAGTGTGAATCGGGGCTAAGTGTTGGAAGAGAGAAAGGTGGTTTATATGTGATAGTCTGTGCCTCTCTATCCTCCTCCACTGCACACACACCTGAGTGTTTAATTGGGCTTTAACCCATGAACAGTTATCAGCCCACGCTTATTACTTCCTCGTCCCCCAGTCCCAGCACATGTGTTTTTTTTCCTCAGCATCCAGTTTCCAGCCCATGTATGTAAATACCTAAGAGCAAGTATAAAACGTACAGTTGCAAGAAAAAGTATGTGAACCCCTTGGGATTACGTGGAGTTTTGCATGAATTGGGCATAAAATGTGCTCTAAACGTCATCTAAGTCACAACAATAGAAGAACACAGTCTGCTGAACATAATACTACACAAACATTAGATGTTGCCATGGTTTAATTGCACATAACTTGTAAACATTCACAGGGAGGAAAAAGTATGTGAACCTTTGGACTTAATAACTGGTTGACCCTCATTTGGCAGCAATAACCTCAACCAAACGTTTCCTGTAGTTGCAGATCAGACCTGCACAACGATCGAGTAATTTGGACCACTCCTCTTCACAAAACTGTTTCAGTGTAGCAATATTCTTGGGATGTCTGGTGAGAATCGCTCTCTTAAGGTCATGCCACAGCATTTCAATCGGGTTGAGGTCAGGACTCTGACTGGGCCACTCCAGAAGGTATATTCTGTGCTGTTGCAGCCATTGTTTTGTTGAATTACTTGTATGCTTTGGGTCATTGTCCTGCTGCATCACCCATCCTCTGCGGAGCTTCAGTTGGTGGACAGATGGTCGTACGTTTTTCTGCAAAATGTTTTGATAAACTCTGGAATTCATTTTCCCATCAATGACAACAATCCGTCCAGGCCCTGAGGCAGTAAAGCAGCCCCAAACCATGATGCTCCCTCCGCCATGTTTTACAGTGGGGATGAGGTTTTGATGTTGGTGTGCTGTGCCTTTTTTTCTCCACACATAGTGTTGTGTGTTCTTCCCAAACAACTCAATCTTGGTTTCATCTGTCCACAGTATATTTTGCCAGTAGTGCTGTGGAACATCCAGGTGTTCTTTTGCAAACTTCAAACGTGCTGCAATATTCTTTTTGGACAGCAATGGCTTCCTCCGTGGTGTCCTCCCATGTACTCTAATCTTGTTTAATGTTTTCCTTATTGTACATGTGTCAACAAAAATGTTAGCATGTGCCAGAGATTTCTGTAGGTCTTTAGCTGACACTCTGGGATTCTTCTTTACCTCATGCAGCGTTCTGTGCTGTGCTCTTGCAGTCATTTTTACAGGACGACCGCGCCTAGGGAGAGTAGCAACAGTGCTAAACTTTCTCCATTTGTAGACAGTCTGTCTCACCGTGGATACATGAACATCAAGACTTTTAGAGATACTTTTGTAACCCTTTTCAGCTTCATGCAAGTCAACAATTCTTGATCATAGGTCTTCTGAGAGCTCTTTTCTGCGAGGCATGGTTCACATCAGACAGTGCTTCTTGAAACCAGTAAACCCAAAACAGGTGTGTGTTTTTTTAAGGGCAGACAGCTGTCAGCAACACATCCAATATCATCACACTGATTGGAGTCAAGGTTGGCTCACTCCTGGCTCCAATTAGCTCTGGGAGAAGTCATTAAGCTAGGGCCTCACATACTTTTTCCTCCCTGCACTGTGAATGCTTACATGATATGTGCAATTAAACCATGGCAACATCTAATGTTTGTGTAGTATTATGTTCAGCAGACTTTGTTCTCGTATTGTTGTGACTTAGATGACGTTCAGAGCACATTTTATGCCCAATTTATGCAAAACGCCACGTAATCCCAAGGGGTTCACATACATTTTCTTGCAACTGTATGTGCATTCATTCTTCAGAAGCCAGTACCTAGCCCATGTGCATTTACTCCTTTCAGGGTAAAGGCAACTGCTTCCTGTCACCAGCACATGCTTTATTCACTCAGCACCCAGTCTCCAGAACATGTGCAGTTGAATTTTACATTTATTCAGGGCACCATGCTACATTTTAATCTCACCTCCTTTGTCACTGATCTATTTGTGATCTCAACTGCACTACTCCATTTTCTGTTTAACCTCCCTAGCGGTCTGATTATGTCCATATTTCTGTGCTGAAAGTGGTACATTTTTTTGCATGGAAATATGTATTTTTTTTTATTGCAGGCCTGTATTTTTTAGGAATAATTCACTGAAATCTGTCCGAACAAGAGTCTAGTAAACATCCCAGGTATGTTAAAATTTGAAACATGAAATCATAAATTATAATATAATAAACAATCATAAAAAATAATTAATAATACATTTAATTCAATAATATAATCAAACCAAAAACACTGAAATTTGAAATATAGCACATCACTGAGCAAAGTCGCAGAATCGTTTTCAGTGTCTGATGACGAATTTCCCCACGAATCATTATAACTCAATTCTGCAAGTAGTTCTAATTTACTATCGCTGTTCTCTAGCTGGTCTAAAACCGCTTTTGACCTAAAGGGATGCTTTTTGGATGCCATGGACGTTTCTCAGTTTCCAGGCAGAAAGAACGGTAAAAATGCAGGCAGTGCACAGGACAAAGCACTAGGGACATAATGTATGTGAAATGGTTAGATACAGTAATGTTTTACTATGTTATTTTAGTGTTTTTGGTGAATGTCACTTTGTGTCATTTTCAAATTTCCCGCCAGTTCCATCCCCTGTATGTCCCGATGTCACAGGGGATGGAACCCAGATGACAGATGCTGGCATCCGCCGGAGGACATTACAGGGGACACTGCAGGAGGGACATCGCGGGAGCGTCGGACAAGGTAAGTGATCGAGGGATCCTGGAGCAGAAACCCATGGAAAGCTCGAGTGTAGCTCGGGGTTACCGCTTGTGGTACTGAAACTTTACCCCGAGCTACACTCGGGAATACCGCCAGAGAGGCTACACTACAAGAAAGCTCTTAACTTCTATGTCTACAGCATTGTCTTTGCTTATACCCCTTTTCATTTTTGGTGTCTTCAACCTTCATTGTCCCAAATGTCACAGTCCTCCATTTAATTCTCCTAAACATCTTCATAGTTTGTGGGGCTGTTGAACTGTTCCATGCCACCTCCTTTGTCCTAACCATGAATGGGGCAAGGTTTCTGGCCTCTGACTTTGATCTTTGTTTCTCCTCTGTAACATTCTTACAACGTCCGTTTTGTGAATCGGTGCCAAAAGGCTTCATGGGCTCACATTACTCTGTCATTCCCTTGTATTGTTATGACTATATTTGTGAGTGATTTTTCAGACCAGAAGTCACAGCACAAGGAGCTAATGCACGGTGCACCAGTTTACATATGCTAACAAGGAACATACTATTAGAAGAGAGTGACCAAGAGATGAACTTGGGTGAAAAGTCAAGATAGCAGAGCGGTATACCCTAACTATGATAAAGTATTGAGAATGTGTCTGGAGCTGCTTCAAACATGTGAGCAGCTATGAGCAGCAGTTAAGCCATGACTGTGCATTAGATCCTTCTATGGCCTGTTTCACATAGACTTCAGCTTGTGTGAACAGCAAGCTTTGACAAAGCATATTCAGCAGCAAGCCTTGTGTGAGTGTTGATTGCCACTCTAAAATAAACTGCTAGCAGGCTTCAGTGGACTTTCAACAAGCTTCAAGAAGCGCTGAAACCTGCTAGCAACTTGTTTACAACCACTTGCTTACAGGGCACTTATACCCCCTTCATGCCCAGGCCAATTTTCAGCTTTCAGCACTGCCATACTTTGAATGACAACAGGCATACAACACTGCACCCATATGACATTTTTATCATTTTTTGAGACAGATAGAGCTTTCTTTTGGTGGTATTTTTCACCTCCTCGGTTTTTGATTTTTTGCTAAACAAACCAAAAACAGAAAATGTTTTAAAAAAAAGTTTTTTTCTTAGTTTTTGTTATAAAATTTTGTAAATAAGTGATTGTTCTCCTGCACTGATGTGCGCTAATGGGGCTGCACTGATGGGCACTGATAGGTGGCACTGATGAGGCACTGGTAGGTGGCACTGATGAGGAGGCACTGGTAGGTGGCACTGATGGGCATTGACATGCATCACTGATGGGCACTGAAAGGCAGTACTCATATATGGCACTGATGGACACTGTTAGGCGGCACTGATTGGCAGCATTGATAGGTGGCACTGAAAGGCAGCTCAGATGGGCACTGATATGTGGCATTGATGAGCACTAGTAGGCACAGATATGTGGCATTGATGTGGCTCTGATGGGCACTTGCAGGTGGCATTGATGGACACTGACAGCTGGCACTGCTGGGGCTACACTGATCATCAGGGCACACTGATCATCAGTGCCCTGATGATCAGTGTACATGTCCCCTCTGAGGAATGCCGATTACCGGCTCTCCTCACGAGCTGTCAGCGTGACAGCTCGTTAGGAGAGAAATGCTGATAACTGGCATTTCCTTATTTACATGGGATCAGCTGTGATAAGACACAGCTGATCACATGACCGAGCCGACATCTTCGGCTCTTTTCGTTGATCGGTGATCTGCTGTGTCCGCCCCCCCGGAACCGCGTACTCGCCGTGAGAGTGGGAGGACATCATATGAAGTCCTCCCAGAATGAGAGAGCCGCCTTGCGCCCATCATTTCCTTATATGGCGGGCGGGAGACAGTTAAAGTGGCAATCAGCACTCCCATCAGGATCTGTGTTCAGCGTTTACAAACTGGAGCTGAATGGTACTTTAAAAGCTTCAATAAAGCTTGCTGAAAGCTCTGCCTTTACTTTATCAAAGCCAGTTGTTCACACTCTTGTTATTCAAGCTGAAGCCCCTGTAAAGCAGGCCTAACAGAAGAAGAAAAAAAAAAAAAGAGTGCCACAGTTCAATAAAAGTTTGTCGATTTAAAATTGAAGCAATATACAAAAAAAGGAAACCGTTAAAAAAATGTAACTAATGGTAATTAATGCAACCACCACATATAAAAAAAAAAAAAGCTGTAATATATTAAACTTTTGTTTTTGTGTTTAATACTGCTTGAAATCTTTAATTGTTATTAATGAAGCCTCCAGCCTGCATGTGATGCAATGTGATCAATCAGATTTTACGTGACAGCTAGGTTGCCCAAAAACTTAACAAAACACAGATTTAAGAACCAGCAGAACATTTTGGCTGTTGGCTGACAAAGAAAAGGATGTTTATTAAAGTGATACTAAAGGTTCAGATTTTTTTACAAAAAAACAACACGCGTGTTTATACCTACTTGCTCTGTACAATGGTTTTTTCACAGTGTAGCCCTGATCATCCTCTTCTTGGGTTTCCCTCCGGTGCTCCTGGCCCCTCCCCCCCACTGAGTGCCCCCCAGAGCAAGCTGCTTGCACCGGAGGGACTCGCGCATGCTCGCTTACAATCAAGCCCATAAGACACACAGAGGACGGCTTGGTCCCATACTCCCTCTTCCTCCTCACTGACTGTGATTGAAGTAAACCCACCTTTGGTAACTTTTACCTACAAGTAAGCCTTTAACCACTTCAATACCAGGCACTTTTACCCCCTTCCTGCCCAGGTCAATTTTCAGGTTTCAGCGCTCAAACTTTAAACGACAATTGCACGGTCATGCAACACTGTACCCAAACTAAAATTTTATAATTTTGTTCACACAACCAGAGCTTTCTTTTGGTGGTTTTTAATCACCGCTGGGGTTTTTATTTTTTGCTAAATTAACAAAAAAAAAAAGACCAAAAATTTTGAAAAAAACACACACGTTTTTCTTTGTTTCTGTTATAAAAAGTTTGCAAATAAATAATTGTTCTTCATAAATTTAGGTCAAGATGTATTCTGCTACATGTCTTTGGTGAAAAATAACCCAAATCAGTATTTATTATTTAGTCTGCAGGAAAGAGTTATATATCTAAAAATTGATCAATCCTGAAGTACTGACGCCAATCTAATTTCTTGAGGCCCAGAAATGTCAGAACAGTACAGATATCCCCCAAATGACCCTTTTTGCAAAGTAGACAGTCCAATGTATTTCATAAGAGGCATGGCGAGTTTTTCAAAAATATAATTTTTTTTTGTCATAATTTTTCGGAAAATGAAGAAATTAAAAAAAAAAATTCTAATTTTTTTTTTCTTACATACTGTCACCAGTGCAGTACAGCGTCATCATATAACTTGTGTGGTGATGATCAGGGACACTGACTGGTGACTGTACTACTTTGGAGAAGTGAGCAGTATTTTTTTTTTTTCTTTTTTTTACACAATTTGATTGCATATAGCAAAAAATTTCTTTGCTATAAGCAATCATTTAACTGAATGAAATCGATTCATCAAGGGTTTTTTTTTTTGTGATTTAGTTGTGATTGGCGACAGCTAAATCACATGACACAGATGGGCTGTGAATGGCCCAGCCTGTGCATGTGATCGTTGTGACCATTCACAGCTATTCACACTAGTATGCAATGGATGGCATGAAATAAAGCCATCCATTGTATACAACTGTCATGTGACCTGCAGTGATTGGTTACAGTAGGTCACATGGCACTGGCAGCGGGGCCGGTACACAGATCTGTCATTGGCCGTGTCCGAGGTACACAGCCGGTGACAGATCTTGCCACAGCGCAGCCCTGTGGACATGCGCCAAGTGCGATCCGGGAAGAACATCATATGATGCACTACCGGAGGGACGAGAGGTTCACCCGGTCATCATTTTACTATAGGCTGGGCGGAAAGTGGTTAATAAGGCTTACCTGTAGGTACTGTAAATATCTCCTAAACATGCACCGTTTAGGAGATATTTACTGTAGAAGCGCCGATGATATCACCGACACAGGCGCACTGCACTACTATCCATTGAGAGAGCCATACCAAGGCTGAAACTCCCTTTCACAACGACATCGCGGCTCAAGCAATCACATGGCCGCAGCTTGCAAACCCGGAAAGAAGACTGAGTGAAGTTGGAAGCCTTGGTGAGCTGTGACAGTGCTCCGCTGGAGGGCTTCATTTTCAGGTAAGTCTTTCATAATATGCAATGCATACTAGCACATTGAGCTCTTAACTTGCAGGGAGAATATTTTTTAGAATTTTTTTGGGGTGGTTTAGTACCGCTTTAAAAGGTACAGTTAGGTCCATATATATTTGGACACAGACACAATTATAGTCCAATTACTTTTGGTCCCTTGAAAAAGGGGGGTTGACTACTCTTTGAGCTGTAATTCCTAAACCCTTCCTCCAATTTGGATGTACATACTCTCAAATTAAACCTGAGAGTGTGCACTTTTAGCCCATATCCAGTATATAACTATAGCTTGAATTTGTTTTGGTAAATACCTCAAAAATCTAAAAATGTATGCCTGTGTCCAAATATATATGGACCTAACTGTATCTGCAGCATGGGGCTGGGCGGATTGTTTGCTTTTTGAATTTTAACAAATGCATGAATGAGTAATTGGGTTCTTAGGAAAAGCCAACACATTCCCGAAATGTGTTGGATTTTCCTGAAAACCTTGCAATTAAGAAACTGCAGTTAAACTGCTTCTGGATTTCTGAAACTTTGTGGCACTCATCTTGAAAGTTATGAGCTCATCCGTGTGATACTTGTCCTTCTTGTACATGCACATGCTGGACGCAGAGAAAGAAAATAGCTTAATTACTTAACCTGCAGTAGAAAAAAGGTTTCACTCCCAAAACCATTGCACAGAGCAGGTAAGTATGACATGTTTTTATTTAAAAAAAAAAAAAAAAAAAATGAACTTTTACAATCACTTTATTGGTTTCATTATATTATTTTTATTTGCACCTGGTAATCTTTTCATGTCATACCTCTTAGGGGTGACGACATACGCACTGTACTCTGTACTGTATCTATGAAGTAACAAAATTGTTGCCTCAGGAAAGAGACTACAGAATACCTTTCCTTCTACATACCATAGAGGGGAGGTGTTTTGTGCTCCAGAAAAATAGCTGGGAACAGTGTAACTGTTAAGAGTGCAGCACAGGCAGTTCACAAAAATTTCTAGCAGGACCAAAAGGTTTTTTTTTTTTTTTTATCTTTAACAGATATAACAAAATTGCATATTTTAACAGACCAAATAGGAGAAACAAAGACATTTATTGTTAGGGTTTATATAACCTTCAGAGCGGTATTAAACCCAAAACCAATGTATAGCAGCTTAGCAATAATTAGATGCGGTGGCTGCATTAATTTTCTTTTATCTTTTTCTTTTTAACCCTCTGTCTCATCTGGGGATCTGACCAGTGACACACCTCCTGTATTAGGGTGCCTCCACTCTGGATGGAGGAGCAAAGTATCAGGGTAAGCCGCGGCATTCATTCAGCCTTGGCGGCTGTCGGTTTGTAGTTCTCAATGAACTACAATGGCGCTGTGATTCTTCCTGTTAGTATTTTTGCCTGCCCGTACATCAGATATACTGATAGATCTGCATTAGACCTGCATAGCACGAGCTATCTGCTGATCGCTGGTGCAATGCTTCACAGGCTTCTGCAACCAATAATAATAAATTCACATTTTGTTTTTACCTGCAAAAAAAATGTGCATTTATTATTGGTCAATAGGTGAACTTATCCTTTAAGCTGGCCATACTTGGATTGAAGTTCAGCTGGATCAGAAGGGACCAGCCTAATTATGATCTATGATCAACTTTAGTACAACTCCCCTGTCTGATTTTTGCTGCTCGAGCAGTGCCTGATCAGTGTATTCTGACAGTGGGGTAGTTTTGGGTACGGTATTGTAATTTTTTTGTTGTTTCTCAGAGCATACACTTTTGCAGCTTGGAATATTTGGTATCTATTTATAAAACAAAATTGGACATTATATTGTGTTCCTGTGCAATAAAATTAACTTTAATGTATTACACAAACAGAAATAGGTGCAGCGCTCAAAAAATGTATATTATATTAAAGTGCAATACTCAAAATATTATCGATATGGAGATATTAAATACAAGTGATAACACGGAAGTGAATAAAGCTCTGCAATGAGCGCAATTAAACAAATGCAGCTGTGAAAGTCATTAAACAAAAAAGTGTTCATACGATGGTGAGGGTCTGACAAACACCGGTCAGAAAATTGTGCTGCACACTAATCTTATTGCATAGGTGGTATCAAATTATTCCATGTGACATTTATCCGTGCAGGGAATTGATAAAAAAAAAGCGCACTCACCAGATGCGCATAGTAAAAGTGCAATGTGTTAAATCTTATTGACCAATGATCTTCAGGAAGCCCCCTTTAACCTTTTTCCAGTGATACCAAACTAGATCTTCAGTAGACAGTCCTTCAGTCAGCTCCTTGTAGATTCAGCATCCAGGCCCATAAGGTCACCCATCTGAGGCCCTTCATGAGGGCCTAAAATCAGGGCACTGATAATCAGTTCCCTTATCAGTCCAGATGTCTCCGTTTGACAGTTGCCGATTATTGGCAGTACTTTCCTCATGCTGTGACAGCATGAGGAAAGTACTGCCAATAATCGGCAAGTGTATTTACATGGTGCTCAGCTGTGATTGGACACAGCTGATCACGTGGTAAAAGGCTGCTG